CCCTATTCCCGATCAGGAGCTGGCTGACCTGTTTTGTGTTTGTGTGTGCCCTGTATCTAAACCAGAGCCGTCCTACCTTCACTGTTCTGCAAAGAAACATGACGAAGATGAATAGCTCTGACAGTTCTTTGCACTTCTCATAAGCATGCTGTCATTCGACCAGTTGGGCTGGTTGTCCTCTGTTCTCCCTGATCCTTTCTTCAATCCTGAGTGCTTATCTTTCCCAGATAAAGAAAGACCTCTTTGAGGGGGTGGAAGCAGAAAATCCCTGGTAAGCAGTGGGGCAAAAAGTATCAATCAGGTTAAGTGTACAGGTACATCTATCTCCTAGACTTTAAGTGCTGGGAGGAAGGAGGCTTTTAGGAAGTGCTCTGTACTTGATGCTGCCAGTCCCATCAACTAACAGCTATCCATCAGCAGTGTAACCAATGTGCCCACACAGCTCTGCTCCCTCTCTTCTGATCACTTCTCTAAACCTACAGGTTTTATGAACGCCCTTTGAACTTATTCAACCTTAAATAGTAACAGCTTTATTTCCCAGCTAGTGACTCACAGATTTTTCTCTCTCATTCTTGGAAGAGTTAGCCTTTCGGACTTTAAACTCGCATAATCCTCAAAAAAGAGATCTGGACAATGAATGAGTCACCGCTCCTCATTCTACCTGCTGCTTTAGCCTGAGTTAGTCACAGAGCATCACCCTATCTCTGTATGCAGTGCTGGGCGCATAGTAGACTATTAATAAAAACTTGTCTTATGTAAGAAGGTATGACGACTGAAGGAAAAGTTAAGTCATGTGAAAGGGTGGCTAGCCTGGTATCTATATTGTGCATTAGGGTCTCAAGATATGGGAGAAAGAGGAGGCTATTTCTACTCTCGCAAAGAAAACACTCAGGGGCAGCTCCATCCCGTCCTATGGGGTCACTGTGAGTGGGAATTAACCCGATGGTAGTGGGTCTTTTGAGTTGCAGGGTCTCAAGATACGTTTTAAGCCAAATCCGTCAACTTGACAATTCTTTGGCACTAGATAGACAATATCCCCCTTCACACCCATCTCCCCACGGTACCCAAATAACCAGCCGTGGGAGGTGAGAGGTAGACGCTCTGCCTGCCCCCCCCCCCGCCCCCTCCCCTATCTCGGGCAGCTCTTGGCACCCCGCAGGGCTGGGGTCGTCTCAGTTCCCCTTCCCTGCCCCCCACCCCCACCCCAGTCTCCCTCCCTCCCTCCTCATTACACAACCCCTGAGAAGACTACTCCGAGCCGCCAAGCCTCCGATCCCTGGAGCGAACTTGCCCGCTTCCGCCCGGCCCTCGGAGCACGGGGGCGAGGCCGGGGAGCCCCACTTCCGCGTCGGCGGACAGCACGGTCCGTGACGTGACCGCGCTCTGACGTCAAGCCGACGTGCAGCGCGGTCGCCCGGGAGACCGGGAAAGCCGTTTCGCACCCGGCGAAGCCGAGGACTAGGTGAGACACAATGGCTTCCCTCAGCCCCCGGATGACCCCGTCGTTTCGCAGTTCCGGAGCGGAGGCGTGCTCGCCCCCCGGGGACCGGGCCGGAAGGGGGAGCCGCGGCCCGGGGACGAG